TGCTTCGATAATTTTAATATATATATATATATATATATCATTCATATATATATTAGGATGCTTTCTATTTGAATGAATCTATACTACTACGTATAAATCTACTTATTCAAGGTTAGCTGTTTTTAATAATTACCAACAAGATCAAATATGTTTCTACATCGACTGCCGAATGAGATTCATCATCTGTCTTTTACCTGAATAAAATCAAAGCCCAAAGACAAAACCATTCGTGATCCAGCACCAGACATCTGGACGCTGTTTCGACCTACCATAAATCTCATTGATGCTAGGTATTATACTGAGGTATACAGGCAACGAAAAAGCTGATGAGTGTGCCAGACACGGATCATCAACTCCATATTATAGTCCCTGAACCAACTGTGTGAGTAATAAAAATCTTTGTTCTGGAACCAGATTGGGAAGTGGGTCTATAAGGATCAAAGAGTATTGGAAAAATATATAGTAGACAATAAGCTTAAATTCTATTTTTCGACATCGACCGCTGAACACTTCAAAGCAACTAAATGAAAGCAGGACAAAAGAAACAACCCAATCATGATCTAACACTAGAGAGCTCTGTTTCCCGCCAAGTCGTGAATGCATTGCTGCACTTAACTGTCCTTGAAGGGCAAGCCTGACTTTATCTATAGATTGATAGATAGATAGATACATTTATTTCAACAGAATATTTTGAAATTATTCCTGTTTTTGGATTTTGCCCCTCTATATACACTTGGATAGAAAGTTTGAGTTTTATTAAGTATTACTGTATCTTATTACTATCTCATTCAAAGATTTAGTAAACCAAACCACACCCACTCATAATAATATAAAAGCAGAGTAGTTAATGCGGTCGGAACGACGGTAACAACAACTCGAACACCATCTCGGGCACTGCGTTACCCTTTAATAATGTCTACCGCAGTAGTAGACGAATCGTCAGGCATAAAAACCTGCAGATCACGGCCAAAAAACCTTGAAAATAGCTTTCACACAGTTATCAATCGCCATGAAAGTTTACATTCTTTAATAACTTTTATGTTTTTTGGGAGGTTATTCAAAAATACTCCATTCCACTATAGAGAGTACTATGTTCATAAAGGGATTTTACATGGATGGGATATGAGAAGTTTGTTTTTTCGACTTGTCTCGTAAATATGTGTTTTGCGATGTATATCGAAATATCCTGGATGATTGATAATACATTTTATTCATTCATAGATATAGATTGCTTATCTTGAAGGTTTCTCTGCAGGAATATATTGTATTTATATTGAAGATTATTCTAATAATTTTTTTTACATAGAAATTATCTCCACATATGATTATCCCTAGTTTCATAACAGAGTAAACATTCGCATGATATACTGCAATATGTGCTTCATGGTGTATGTTATGGAGGATATTTGAGGCAAAGGCTGTCCATCTGACTGGTTCAACTTGAAGTGTCATCGATGTATATACCTAGAAACTTCAACTGAAGTGTTGCAAATGATTTTTTGATTGTTCATAATTATGTTTGGTGGTGTTTCAATACTGTTATTGATTTTGAACATCTGTTTTTCCATCGTTCACAACTAACTTATTCTCTAGAAAATACCTTTGGATCGTTCTATTATTTTGCCACCCTTTTTTATAATATCAGATAGGTTTGCATCTGTTAATAGAAGTTTGATATCATCAGCATAGTTGATCATGTGAGCAGTGTTTATATCTGCTATAATCTCATTGATATGGTTTATAAATATAATAAATGATATTGGAATGAGAATGCTACCCTGTGCGACTTCCTTAGACATACCCAGAGCCTCCGATCTTGCCGTATAATTTTTTTTATTTGATAGGTTTCTGGTGTTTTCTCGTTTTCGGAAGGTGCAGGTCAAAGTGAAAACTGAGTGATCAGACATACCTGTTTCAATAACTATCCCTTTTATATCACCTTCGAGATTCGTAATTATGTTATCTAGGCAGGAACTGGAATGGGGAGTAACCCTTGTTGGTTTGTTGATGGTTGAAATAGAATTATAAGCAGTTAACACATTTCTGAAGTCTTTACAAGTATTGCTTGTAAAGGAAGTGTCTATGTTAAAATTACTTGCTATAAAATATATACGATATTTTCATATAAAATATCTAACATGCCCTGAAATTTAGTTTAAACAATTCAACTTCACTTGATGGGGACCTGTAGATTCAAACTATGTTGATCTTTGTCTCACCAATTTTGCAGACTGCACTGGAGTACTTAAAAACATAGTCTTCAGCTAAGACGTTCACTTCGTTGATGGGAGTGCTAACAATTCAGACTCTGTACTACACATATTGTAAATGATTGGTTATTACACCTTGTACTTGTGTTAACAGTTTTTTTTCTTCTATTTCTTGTTTTTCTGATGATTATTCTATTCTATGCTTCTATATGTTTTTTTGTTTTCTTTCTTTATATTATCAGGTTCTTTTTTTGTTATGAATAACCATATTTTTTGTGTTGATCCTCATGCTCATGAAAATTACAATCACCGTTGTCCATGTTTATTTTTATTTTTACGACTCCTATGTACCACCTCATAAATGCCTACATTGCTCTCATTATCATAATTTCAAAGAATAATGTCTGTCATGAACATCCTTTGTTCATTTTCTAGAGCAGTTGTTTGGTTTCCCGTTTGTGACTTGTTATCAATGTTTGATTCATTCCCTTGTGACACCCCGTATGTTGTGGTTTCTCACAATGTCTAATTCATCATTGTGTTGTTGAATGTATTTTTCCTGATTAGTTCTTTTGGGTGTTTTTTTGAGATTTCTTTTTTTTATGGAATTGTGAAACTGTGTTTCATGGTTTGGGTTGGTCTATCATTTATGAATTTGTCTTCCAAAAATTCCTTATCAGCAGAAATTTCCCTAAGTAATTTATTTTCCTCTCTCAGGAAGTCTTCTTCAGATAAAGTAGGTACATCGGTTTTTTATCTGGTTCATGTTTGCATTCCGCTTTTTTTTGGTCACTAGATTGCTTGAGACACTTTGGCGATG